CCAATTAGTTATTGATATTGTGCTGTCTGCAGTCCCTTCAGCACATACCATGATCCTAATATTGTCCAATCCCAAACTGAAAGAAATCTTAATGCACATTCTACACATCAGACGAAGGGCAACCTAAAGAGAAGACGGCTGTGGACACGCATCCCTTGCATCCAAGAAGACAAGATTCTTTCCCTCCTTCCCTCCCTCTCTCTATATAAAACTTGCCTCAGATGTACTGTCTGCTGTATTTCATAATACAATAACATGAAAATGGAATCTAAGTAAAAAGAAAAATAGAGAAAAATAAAGAAAAGAAAATGCAGAGTTCTCTAAAAAAGTAGATCTTGACCCTTGTCTTAAACAGAGTGAAATGCCAGCATTGCTGAAGTTGGCCTGTGCCGATACCAAGGTTGTTGAAAAGGTCACTTCGGTGGGATGCATTTTCACCTTGCTTATCCCCAACTCCTTTATCTCGATCACTTACATCCACGTCCTGGCTTCCCAGGACCTGGGAAATTCAACCTGACAAGGGCAGCTCAAAACATTCTCTGCTTGTTTCTCTCATGTATCAGTGGTGGTGCTTTTCTATGGCAGCGCCATATTAATGTACATGAGACCTGAGTTGAGCCACTCCCCTGGTCAGGACAAAGTGATCTCTCTGTTTTATAACATTGTCATTCGTTGTTTAATCCAATTATATAGAGTCTGAAGAATAGAGATGTGAAAGAGGCCTTGATTAAAATTTTCCAAAGGTGCAGAAGACCTTGTTGATCCTCAGGCAAACATGAGATGCTACCTTCTACTAATAGTCCAGCAGGTCCACCGTGGTTGACTCTTTCTGGCAGTGTCTCTGCAAGGTTTGAAGCAAAGACTCTGCTATCTGTGAAGCTTGAGTTGTGGGTTTTTGTTTTTGTTTGTTTTTTACTGGTGATGATAGGGATTGAACCTGAGATCTTCCAAGTACAAAGCCATTCTCTGCCACTGAAATATGACCCTGTTATATGTTTATGGATTTGGTAATGGTAAAGGTAATCAGGCCAAGGGAGCCGACGTTTGTCTGCAGACAGCTTTTTCTGGGTCATGCGGCCAGCATCACTAAACTGCTTCTGGCACACGGAACACCATGATGAGTGCCGGAGTGCACAGAAACACCGCTTACTTTCCCACCGCAATGGTACCTATTTATCTACTCACACTGGTATGCTTCCGAACTGCTAGGTTGGCATCAGTTGGGACAGAGCAACCGGAGCTCTCCCCGTCATGCAGATTCAAACTGCCGACCTTATGATCAACAAGCCCAAGAGGCTCAATGGTTTAGACGACAGTGCTACCTACGTCCCTTTAAGTTTATGGGTTAAATGAAGTTTTGGGGCATCAAGGCTAATTTCCTTGGAGGTGATACCTCGACTCATGTGTGTATTTAAGTCAGACCCAATGTGTATCTAAGCCATGTGCTGGACCTTGTTAATCCTTTATTTAACCAAGTGTAAAAGCTCATTAAGTTAGATAATTTTCATTTGATGTGTTAGTCTGGGGTAGAGCTACACAAAGAATAATAAAAAAATCCCATTTGCAAATGAGTGTGTTTAATCATAATAATAATAATACTGACTGGGTTGCCCCAACCACTCTGGGAGGCTTTCAGCATATACCCTCAACGAAGGGTTTTGTGTAAAAGACAACTCCAGTGTTTTAGCGTGTTAGGAAAGGTTAGAGTTTAGAATGGAAGTTAGGAATGAAGTTATAGAGTTAGGAAGCAATGTGGGCGAGAAGCAGAGAGAGATATTAAGTGAGAAGCAGAGTGCAAGAGGCAGTGTAGCCTTATTAGACTTTACTGATTGGTGGGCTCTGCATTGCTCCTGGACGGAGGAAGGAAGTCAAATGACACCGAGGGTTGGTTCAGAGAAAGAGTTCTTTATTTCTGCTCTCCGGAACAGCAGAAAGGCACTTGCGTGGTCAGTCCACAGCAAGTCCAAAGAAATGAGAGATTTCATGCAGTATATATATCCTCCAGGCACCCTCTCCCCCTTCCCCAGGAATCTAACCACATCAGCTTATACACGCAGGTTGACATCACAGATGTTCCTGCTCCGGTACTCTTAACCATAAAAGGGTTTTCCTTCCTGTAATCCTGACCATAAAAGGTTATTCCTGTTCCTATATTCTTATCTTGGAACAAGAGGTCACCAACTCCAAGAACATACTCTGGCGCTGTTCCCGGACTAGGTCTGTGCCTCAGAGTGTGGTCAGGACGTAAGATAAGACCTAGACATGTCATCCCTGTTCCACTTTGGAATGGACAAGGCCATCCGTCATTACCAGCCTTCATGGACTGATAAGGGAGAGAGCTTTGAGCACTTGTTTATACAGCTGGGTTTTGGCTCAAGAGCTCAAGTTAAAGCATTTTAGAAATGCTCACTTGGAAAAGGAAAAAAAGGTGGATTTGGGGTCCCGTTTCAAACTGACTGCACAGAAACCCATTCTTTAATTCCCCCCTCTTCTTTTGGACAGCCTTACAGCTCGTCCCAAGGCACTGGCCGGTATTCTCATGTCAGTGCTATAATCTGGGGCCGAATCATTCGTGACATCTTTTACGTATCATATTTTGCAGGCATTGCATTAAGCAGGGTATACGGGTGCAGAAAAGAAGCAAGATTAGCAAGGGGCCTATTAACATCATTAAAAGTCCTCTAAGCCACCCAAGGTTCGCAAGCCACTCAGTCAACCAAGACATGTCCCATCCGTTCCAGGTTGGGACAACAACATGGGCTACTTTTTCTATTTCTGCTGCCAGGTGTCAAATAGCTTCACCATGGTCAGAGATGTTAAAGCAGCAGGCTCCTCCCATCAAATGTAATGCGGCACAAAATCCGGCGGAACCCAAAATCGGGGCCGTAACTGAGGACTCATTCCAAGGCACAGGGAGGAGGGGTATTCCTCCCAAAGCATCTGTAGGTCCCAGAGTGCAGACTGTGCAATTGGTTCGGTTTGCAGAATAGGCTACCATTTCTGCCATTTGCAGCCATTTATTGTACGTGTTGCGGACACCCCATTCTCTCATTAGCTGCTGGATTACCTTAAGTGGTGTGCCCCAAAACCTCCAACAACAACTGCTCTTGCTCTAGAGAGTCTGAAGAGCGCACCTGTCCAGGTCGCAGTAAAAACCGGAAGTCGAAGTCCCAGTTTCCCGTGGGAACAGACACTCTGCCAGGAGTTGAGAGTGATTTGTACCACATGCCACAGGGTAAGTTTCCTTGGCCTGGAGTAGGGGAAGCAAAAGGTTCCTTGGAGGCTTGTGAATATTCACTTTGAATGTTCATAAAGCCTTAACTCTTTCAGGGTGTGGAAAAAACCTTGATTTAAAAAGGGGGGGTGTAAAAACTCTGATCCAAGTGCTGACTGTGGTTGACGGAACCACATAAGAGGACAATTCACAGTCATATTTTTTATTTTATTTCATTTCATTTTGTTTATTTTATTTCTTATTTCTTATTTTTACTTCTTACTTCTTATCTTTCTTACCTATTCTTCACTTCAAAGTCCCAAAGCAGGTTACGATATACAGTCCACAGGAATAAGCCTATTGCCTTCTGTGTCTTCACATCAGAGGTTCTTGGTTAAGTAACATGTTGCGTGTTAAAACTGTAGAAGGCGGCTTTTTTCTTTTCTTTTCTTACAATGTTTGGTGCCTACATAAAATGATACAGCAACAACAACACACACAAAATCAGATCATTACGCAGAATATGGCTCAGGTGATTTTCATAAAACATACATTTTAAATCTAATATCTGAGTCAGTAACCAGTGATCAGGGCTTGGTAAATACCATTGTGACAGAAGGAAATAAATAATTACTGTCAATGTCACCATGCAAATTGCAATATGGTCCTTGGCATATACAGACAACATGATGCATGGCTGTGTCATTTGTAAGAGAAAGCTATTAAGATTTGCATCTCTCTTCCCCCTGCCCAACCTCTCTTTTTGTAGGACAACCTATTATACACCCACAGATTCCCTCTCAAACAGATATTAGAAAACTAGTCTAATACCCTTATACCCCCAAATTACACTACCCCCTCCATACTATTTCTCTGATCATTTTTGGAACTGTGCCCATTGACTTTCCTAGAGGAAATGGACTGAGCATAGTTGGGAACAGCTGCAGCTTGCTTCACACAAGCAAACTGTTTAATAGCTGAGGTTCCCAAATTTTGATCGCAATCATAATTCAAAATAAGTTTGGGGAATTGCAGGCATAGCTATGTATCCTCGGGGCCAACCCAGGACATTTTTGCATCTGAGGTCAACCACATCATGCGTCAGCATCGTCCTTGCCCCACATCATGCAAGCTGATTAGGACATTTGCCCCTTTTGTACAGTCAGCATGGCCCATGATCAGGGATGACGTGACACCAAAGAGTCAATGTTGGGTAGTGGCTGGAGTGATGGACGTAGGCCTGGGAGAACAGGGCTAAAATCCCCACTCAACCGTGTAGCTCATTAGGTGCCCTTGGGATAAACTCACTCTCTCTCTCTCTCTCTCTCTCTCTCTCTCTCTCTCTGCCTAAACCTACCTCACAGGAATGTTGTGGGGATTAAATGATAAATGGTAGAAGATATGGACACCACCTTGAGCTCCTGGGATTAACAGGTGCAGTATAAAGGCAATAAATAAATATGGATCCGAGTGGAGGAGGCACCAAAGGCAAAAATGAAGCAGCAGGTGGGTGGGGGAAGATGGAAGGCAAACAAGCGAGGGAATGGGGGGCAAAGAAGGAGGAGGTGATGGGCAGGCAGAAGACCAAAAGGCTGCCCTGCAGATTATTTGCATGGTGGGGGTGCTGTCATTACCAACAGAATCCTTCTGAGATTTGCATTTCTTTCCACACCATGATCTCATCATTTTAAAAGCCCAAGTCTCCAGAGTTTCCACTGCTGGACATCCAAAAGAGACCAGGAGAATTACACTCTAATACTTCTTTTCTTGTGGAAGAGTAACAACAATGGGCATAACTACTCCATTTGCTATCTTTTTCCAGACCATTTTAGCAATTGAGTCCGCCATTGCCTTTTTAGGAAATGGATTTATCATAGCTGTGAATGGACACCGATGGCTCCAAAACTGGAAGATGGCCCCTTGCGACTTCCTCTTGACCAGTTTGAGCATCTCCAGAATTCTCTTGCAGTTGACGGCCATGGTGAGTTCCCTTCTGTACTACAACTCTCCATTGAGCTATATGCGTATTTATGATGAGATTTGCACATTTCTGTGGCTGTTTCTCAGCCATGTCAGCCTCTGGTGTGCCACATGGCTCAATATCTTCTACTGTGTGAAGGTCACCAACTTCCCCCATCACCTGTTCCTCTGGCTGAAGCTAAGGATCGATGTACTTGGACCCAGACTGTTCGGAATGGTGATCATAGCTCTCATGCTCTTCTCTGTTCATCCAACCATTCTTCATTTTGAAAACAAGAAGGCCTGCAATCTCTCAGGAACTCTGACACAGAATGCCAGTCTCAGCAAGGTTTGCAAAGACCCATTCTTTGTTTTTAGAACTCTACAGTTATGTTCTTTATGCATGAGTTTCATCCTCAGTGTAACGGCATCCATGGTTTTACTCATCTCCCTTTGGAGGCACAGAAAGAATATGAAAAAGAGTGGCTCTGTCATTAAGGACCTCAGCACTCAGGTCTATCTCAATGTCATGAAGTCTTTGCTGTTCTCTCTGTTCTTCAACGTTACTTATTTTGTTTCTTTAATCATTCCTATGTTTAGTCTGTACAGGAATGGCACAAATGGGCAATTAGTTTCTGATATTGTGCTGTCTGCAGTCCCTTCAGCACATACCATGAGCTTAATATTGTCCAATCCCAAACTGAAAGAAATCTTAATGCACATTCTACACATCAGACAAAGGGCTAAATAAAGAGAAGAGGGCTGTGGATATGCTTCCCTTGACTCCAAGAAGACAAGATTCTCCCTCTCCCCCCCCCTCAGCCTCAGATGTACTGTCTGCTGCTCCCTTTTTAAAAATAATAACAATAAGATCTTCATAATACGATAACATAAAAAGGTATCTATGTAAAAAGAAAAAGAGAAAAATAAAGAAAAGAAAATATGGATTCCTCTCAAAAGTAGGTCTTAACTCTTGTCTTACACAGATCGCGGTGGACCCTCCCAGCTCTGACCTGGCAGCTTTCCTTTCTTCTCCTCTTCTCTCATCTAGGGAGAACTTCCCTTCCCTGTCTCTCCATCCACTACCTACATGTAGCAAAGGCATCTTCCTCACTGCAAGAAGTGAAATTAAAATGAACCAGGCAGAAGGCCTTTATGGTAGTCGCACCCACCCTGTGGAACATCCTCCCAACAGATGTTGAAGAGAAAAGAACTATATTGTTGAAGAGAAAAGAACTATAACAATGCCTTATGAGGAACGGCTAAGGGAGCTGGGCATGTTTAGCCTGGAGAAGAGGAGGTTAATGGGTGATATGATAGCCATGTTCAAATATATAAAAGGATGTCACATAGAGGAGGGAGAAAGGTTGTTTTCTGCTGCTCCAGAGAAGTGGACACGGAGCAATGGATCCAAACTACAAGAAAGAAGATTCCACCTAAACATTAGGAAGAACTTCCTGACAGTAAGAGCTGTTCGACAGTGGAATTTGCTGCCAAGGAGTGTGGTGGAGTCTCCTTCTTTGGAGGTCTTTAAGCAGAAGCTTGACAACCATATGTCAGGAGTGCTCTGATGGTGTTTCCTGCTTGGCAGGGGGTTGGACTTGATGGCCCTTGTGGTCTCTTCCAACTCTATGATTCTATGATTCCATTCTATGATTCTATGTAACTTTTTGTAGACATCTGAAGGTAGCCCTTTTTGGGGAAGCTTTTAATGCTCAATGAGTTTTTCTTTTTCTTTTCCTCTGTCAAGGGAAGCCATTCAGAGTGGCTGGGGCAACCTAATGAGAAGGGCAGAATATAAGAAACTGATGATGATGATGATGATGATGATTACTGCTGCTACTACTACTGCTTCTACTATGGCTCACCTCAAATGCCTGCCCATGAGGCCAGTGGCGTAGCGTGGGTGGTCAGCACCTGGGGCAAGGCAAGTAATTTGCGCCCCCTAACCCGTGGATTTGTGCCCCCTAACCTGTGTATTTGCCCTAACCCCAGCCCCCCCTGCACCCCCACGCTACGCCACTGCATGAGGCAACCCCAACAACATCTCACAAATACTTCATTGACCCACCTGCTCTTCTACAGTAGTTCAGTAGCATTTCCTATCCATGGGGTTGAAGGCTGTTTCACACTTAACATGGCAGCCCAGGAACATCATTGTAGCAAAAACATTAGCCACCGTGGAGACAAAAGGTGTGAATAGGAGGGGCACATATGTTGAGTAATATTTCGTGCACAATTTGCCCAATGGAGACTGAAGAAACTGGCAGAACAAAGAGGGAGGGTATTGGCGAGGTGAGGATGAAGAGAGCTACAATTCCTATTTTATCCCAATTTTGAAAAATACTGTGATTGCGAATATGATAAGAGTTGTTAAATAAGATCAAATGAGTAGGAGGTTCACATTAAAAGGACAGCATGATAAAATCACAGTGGGGGAACTTTTGATATTAACATTTTATTGAAAAGCTTTTAATTATAAAGAAAAAAGTGATTCAAAGAAGAAAATAAAAATAAAAGGCACAATAATGTGTTGAAAGAAACAATACATGAATATACGCATTATACGAAAAATACCCTAACTCATACATTCTTATACAAATTTGATATTGGTATCATAATACATATGAAAATATTAATAGCCTGCTGCATTTTGTATAAAGACACTCGGGATATTGTCATACTTATCCAAACAAAGTCAAGGTCTGTAAGCAATTTGTCCATAAGTTGTGAGTGTTCTCATTGTGGTGAACTTGGGATAATTTCAGGATACTCTCCACCAGAAAGAGACAAGAAGACCACTCTGTTAGTTTTTGCAAGTGACAGGAAGGAATGTAACCAAAATATCAGAAATTGAGAGGTTACTTATTGTGAAACAGAATTACTACCAAGCACTGTAAAATTTATACCCACAACAACAAAAACCACCCCAAACTGATAGAGAATGGTTGCTCATTGAAGTCTCAGTACGTGAACATCATGACACCTGGTTCTCTCATTAGTAACTGAATCCTACTGAGATTTGCATTTTTTCCACATCATGATTTTATCATTTTTAAAAGCCCAAGTCTCCAGAGTTTCCACTGCTGGACATCCAGAAAAAACCAGGAGAATTACACATTGATACTTCTTCCATTCAGGCTTTTTTTGTGGAGAGTAACAACAATGGGCATAACTACTCCATTTGCTATCATTTTCCGGACCTTTTTAGCAATTGAGTCGGCTGTTGCCTTTTTAGGAAATGGATTTATCCTAGTTGTGAATGGGCACCGATGGCTCCAAAACAGGAAGATGGCCCCTTGCGACTTCCTCCTGACCAGTTTGAGCACCTCCAGAATTCTGTTGCAGCTGACCATCATGATAAATAATATTCTGTACAACAGCCTTCCAGAGAACTATACAGGTACTTTTACACGAGATATTGGCGCATTTTTCTGGTTATTTTTCAGCCAAGTTAGCCTCTGGTGTGCCACATGGCTCAACATTTTCTACTGTGTGAAGGTCACCAACTTCCCCCATCGCCTCTTCCTCTGGCTGAAGCTAAGGATCAATGTACTTGCACCCAGATTGCTTGGAATGGTGATAATAGCTCTCATGCTCTTCTTCACTGTTCCTTCAACCATTCTTCATTTTGAAAACAAGAAGACCTGCAATCTCTCAGGAACTCTGACACACAATGCCAGTCTCAGCAAGGTTTGCCACGACCAATTCTTTGTTTTTAGAATTCTACATTTCTGTTCTTTATGCATGAGTTTCATCCTCAGTGTAGCGGCATCCATGGTTTTGCTCATCTCTCTTTGGAGGCACAGAAGGAATCTAAGAAAGAGTGGCTCTCTCATTAAGGACCTCAGCACTCAGGTCTGTCTCAATGTCATGAAGTCTTTGTTGTTCTCTCTGCTCATTGACATTACGTACTTTGCTGCTTTAATCATTCCTGTAGGCGGTTTAGTCAGTTATGGCACAAATGGCCGATTAGCTCTTGAGTTTGTGCTCTCTGCAGCCCCTTCAGCACACACCATGATCTTAATATTTTCCAATCCAAAACTGAAAGAAATCTTAATGCACATTCTACACATCAGTTGAAGTGCTACATAAAGAGAAGAGGGCTGTGGATATGTACCCCTTGAATCCAAGAAGACAAGATTCTCTCTCTCTCTCTCTCTCTCTCTCTCTCTCTCTCTTTCCTCTGATGTACTGTCTGCTGTTTTTCATAGTACAACATAATACAACGTAATACAAGGACAGGGAGGAATGTGACCAATTTATCAGAAATTGAGTGGTTACTTCTGGTGAAACAGAATTACCTAGATTTCAAGCACTGTAAAATTTATACACACAGCAAAAAAACAACAACAGCACCACCCCAAACTGGTTGCTCATTGAAGTCTCAGTACCTGAACAACATGACACCTGGTTCTCTCATTAGTAATAGAATCCTACTGAGATTTGCATTGTTTCCACATCATGATTTCATCATTTTAAAAAGCCCAAGTCTCCAGAGTTTCCACTGCTGGACATCCCAAAGAGACCAGGAGAATTACCCGCTGATACTTCTTCCACTGAGGCATTTTTGGCAGAAATTAACAACAATGGGCATAACTACTCCACTTGCTATCTCTTTGCAGACCATTCTAGCAATTGAGTCCGCTGTTGCCTTTTTAGCAAATGGATTTATCCTAGTTGTGAATGGGCACCGATGGCTCCAAAACAGGAAGATGGCCCCTTGCGACTTTCTCTTGACTGGTTTGAGCACCTCCAGAATTATGTTGCAGCTGACCATGCTGACAAATAAAATTCTGTACTGCAACTCTGCAGAGAGCTATATGCGTGCATATGGACGAGATATTGGCACATTTCTCTGGATATTTCTCAGCAATGTCAGCCTCTGGTGTGCCGCATGGCTCAATATCTTCTACTGTGTGAAGGTCACCAACTTTCCCCACAACCTGCTCCTCTGGCTGAAGCTAAGGATCAATGTACTTGCACCCAGACTGCTTGGAATGGTGATAATAGCTCTCATGCTCTTCTCTGTTCCTCCAACCATTCTTCATTTTGAAAACAGGAAGCTCTGCAATCTCTCTGGAACTCTAACAAGGAATGCCAGTTTCAGCAAAGTTTGCCAAAAACCATTCTTCATCTTTAGAACTCTACAGTTATGTTCTTTATGCATGAATTTCATTCTCAGTGTAACGGCATCCATGGTTTTGCTCATCTCTCTTTGGAGGCACAGAAGGAATCTCAGAAAGAGTGGCGCTGTCATTAAGGACCTCAGCACTCAGGTCTATCTCAATGTCATGAAGTCTTTTTTGTTCTCTCTGCTCGTTGATATTACGTACTTTCCTGCTTTAATCATTCCTGTAGGTGATTTTTTCAGGTATGGCACATATGGCAATTTAGGTTTTGTGATAATGCTGTCTGCAATCCCTTCAGCACATACCATAATCTTAATATTGTCCAATCCCAAACTGAAAGAAATCTTATTGCGCATACTAAACATCAGACATGTGGCTTCATAAAGAGAAGAGGGCTGTGGACACGCATTTCTTGTATCAAAAAAACAACACCAAAACTCCCCCCATCTCTTTAATAGTTGTCTGAGATATACTAGCTGCTCCTGCGAAACCTGCCCTGAGGTTTATTCCTGCCTAGACAATAAATCATTCTTCGATTTATTAACAAATTCATTCATTTTGTACAGATCTTCAGAACATTTTTTTAGAGCAGTTTAAGTCAATGCCTTGAGTTAGCACG